TCTCTTGACTCTGTATTTACATTGTTTGGGGGTGAGACCTATATATAAAGATGTCTAGGGTGGTCTAGACCGTGTACAGTATTTGTAATTATCATTTTATTTTCCTTTCAAAAGTCATTTAATATTTATTCTCTTTCATTTATAACCCAACCCATGTGGTCCTACTTCTGGTGTTAATTTCCCTTCCCCGACCCTTACATTATGACCAGACATTATGACCAGACATTATAACCAGACATTATGACCAGACATTATGACCAGACATTATAACCAGACATTATAACCAGACATTATAACCAGACATTATGACCAGACATACATTCAGACACAGACAGACATTATGACAGACATATAACTAGACATTATGGTCAGACATATAACCAGACATATAACAGACATTATGACATATGACCAGACATTATGACCAGACATATAACCAGACATAACACATATGTAACAGACATTATGACAGACATTATGACAGACATTATAACCAGACATTATGACCAGACATTATGACCAGACATTATAGACATAGACCAGACATTATAACCAGACATTATAACCAGACATAACCAGACATTATGACCAGACATTATGACCAGACATTATAATACAGTAGTACAGGCGTGTCAGTACAGAACCTTGGACAACTGTACTGTACTTAAGAGCGAGAGAGGTCACCCCATTTAGTACAGTACTCTTTACAACATTGAGTACATCTTAGCGAGGCTTGGTGGTGACTTGTGTAGTACTGCCCACTGTCTGTCTGTCTGTCTGTCTGTCTGTTCATGTTTATCTCTGCTCTCTCACTCTGCTCATAGCCTTCATTTGGTCAACATCTGGCGCTCTCTCTACGGACATGATTTATTTTACCCAAAGAATTTTAAATATTCTCGTGTTCAATAGAGATAGATAGACAGATAGACATAGATAGATAGATAGATAGATAGATAGAGAGAGAGAGAGAGAGAGAGAGAGAGAGAGAGAGAGAGAGAGAGAGGTTCGACACATTGGTCTGCCTCAGTGATTAGAATAACACGAGAAGGAGGGCAAGGAGGGCGGGTGATGAGGGTGGAGGGCGTGAGGGCGGTGAGGGGGCAGATGAGGTGGGGGAGAGGTGGTGATGAGGGGTGGTGAGGGCAGGATGAGGGGTGAGGGGTGGATGAGGGGTGGTGATGAGGTGGTGGGTGAGGGTGGTGGTGAGGGGTGGTGATGAGGGGTGGTGATGAGGGGGTGAGGTGGTGAGGGGTGGTGGTGGATGAGGGGTGGGTGATGAGGGGTGGTGGTGGATGAGGGGGTGGTGGGTGAGGTGGGTGGGTGGTGGGTGGTGGGAGGGGTGGTGGTGGGAGGGTGGTGGTGGTGAGGGGATGAGGGGTGGTGGGATGAGGGGTGATGAGGTGGTAGAGGTGGTGGGTGAGGGGTGATGAGGAGATGAGGGTGGTGGTGGTGGGAGGGGTGGTGGTGGTGAGGGGTGGTGGTGAGGGGTGTGGTGATGAGGGGAGGTGAGGGTGGTGGGGATGAGGGTGGTGGGATGAGGGTGGTGGGTGAGGTGGTGGTGGTGAGGGGTGGTGATGAGGGGTGGTGGTGATGAGGTGGTGGTGAGGGGTGGTGGTGGTGAGGTGGTGGGTGGTGGTGATGAGGGGTGGTGGTGGGAGGTGAGGGGCGGTAGTGAGGTGGGGGATGAGGGGTGGGTGGGTGGGTGATGAGGGGGTGGTGGTGAGGGGCGGTGGGATGAGGTGGTGATGAGGTGGGGTGGGTGGTGATGAGGGGTGGTGGGTGAGGGGTGGTGGTGGTGAGGGGTGGTGGTGATGAGGGTGGGTGATGAGGGGGTGGTGGTGAGGTGGTGGTGGTGGAGGGGTGGTGGTGGTGAGGGGTGGTGGTGATGAGGGGTGGTGGGTGAGGGAGGGGTGGTGGTGGATGAGGGGGTGGTGATGAGGGGTGGTGGTAGAGGTGATATTTAGGAGGGGGATGGGCGGGAGAGGGCGGTTGTTATGCTGGTGGAGAGCCGGTGGTGAGGGGGGTAGTTAAGAGGAGGTGGCTGACAGCAGAGGGCGGCAAAGAGAGGTGAGAGGGCAAAGAGGGCGCAGCGGAGAGGGCAAAGAGGCGGCAAAGAGGGCGGCAGAAAGGGGAAGGACAGTGAGGAAGGACAGTGAGGGCGGTTACTTGAAATTCAGGATCACAGAGAAGATTACAAATACAATACGTACACATACTTACACATTTACTACTAAATTTTTTAATGAACCTAGGTAATTAATTTGTTTTAAATGTAATTCTAATTGTTTGGCCTACTGTGTTTTTAACTACTATTCGTTCTACTATTGTCTTGAACTGTGTTGATATATATATATATATAGATAAGATATATATATATAGAGACAGGGCAATGTGCTGGGGAGGGGAGAGAGGGGAGAGGAGGAGAGTGGTGGCAGGGTGTTGGTTAGGGGAGTGGGAAGTGGGCAGAGTGGGCGGGGTGGTAGGGTGGCAAGGTGGGGAGGCAGGGTGGCGTGGTGGGTGACAGGGGTGGCATGGTGGGTGAGGTGGCAAGGTTAGTGGCATGGTGGGTGGAGTGCGGCAAGTAGTGGCATGGTGGGTGGGAGTGGCAAGGTTAGGTGGCATGGTGGGTGGAGGGCAAGGTTAGGTGGTATGGGTGGGTGGGAGGGTGCAAGGGGTGGTATGTGGTGGGTGGAGGGTGGCAAGGTTAGTGGTATGGTGGGTGGGAGGGTGGCAGATTAGTGGTATGGTGGGTGGAGGCGGCAAGGTTATGGTATGGTGGGTGGAGGGTGGCAAGATTAGGTATGGTGGGGTGGAGGGCAAGGCTGATGGCATGGGGCGGGAGGGTGGCGGGTTAGTGGTATGGCGGGGTGGAAGTAAGATATGGCATGGTGGGTGGATGGCAAGGTTAGTGGTATGGTGGGAGGAGGGTGGCGAAGGGCGGGGGTGAGGGCAGGGTTGGCATGGTGGGTGAGGGCGGGGGGGGCATGGGGGGATGTGGGTGAGGGGTGAGGGCGGGATGGTGGGTGGAGGCGGTGATGGCGGGTGATGGCAAGATTAGTGGCATGGCGGGTGGGAGGGCGGCAGGCTGCTAGTGGCATGGGGTGATGGGGGTGGCGGTTAGTGGTATGGTGGGTGGAGGGCGGGTTAGTGGCATGTGGTGGGTGGGAGGGGTGGCAAGGTATGGTATGGTGGGTGGGAGGTGGCAAGGTTAGTGGTATGGTGGGTGGAGGGTGGCAAGAGTTAGTGGTATGGTGGGGTGGATGGCGGCGCTGTTAGTGGCATGGTGGGTGGAGGGCGCAAGGTTGGCGGTATGGTGGCGGGAGGGCAGGGAAGGTTAGGTGGTATGGTGGGTGGGATGGCGGGAGGTTAAGTGGCATGGTGGGTGGAGGACGGCGGGTTAGTGGCATGGTGGGTGGAGGGCAAGGGTCAGGTGGTGATGGTGGGTGGAGGGTGGCGGGTTAGTGGCATGGTGGGTGGAGGGGCAAGGCATGGTATGGTGGGTGATGGGAGGCTGAGTGGTATGGTGGGTGGGAGGGGCAAGGGGGGGCATGGTGGGTGTGATTAGTGGATGGTGGGTGGAGGGCAAGGTTAGTGGCATGGTGGGTGGAGTGGGCAAGGTTAAGTGGCATGGTGGGTGGGAGGGTGGCGTTGGTGGCATGGTGTGGGTGGGAGGCAAGGTTAGTGGCATGGTGGGTGGGGGTGGGGCAAGGTTAGTGGCATGGTGGGTGGAGGGTGCAAGGGTTAGTGGTATGGTGGGTGGGAGGGTGGCAAGGTTAGTGGTATGGTGGGTGGGAGGGTGGCAAGGTTAGTGGTATGGTGGGTGGGAGGGTGGCAAGGTTAGTGGTATGGTGGGTGGGAGGGTGGAAGCAGAGTGGTATGGTGGGTGGGAGGGTGGCAAGGTTAGTGGTGGGTGGGTGGGAGGGTAGGCAAGGTTAGTGGATGGTGTGGAGGGTGGCAAGGTTAGTGGTGGGGTGGGAGAGGGCAAGGTTAGTGGTATGGTGGGTGGGAGGGCAAGGTTAGTGGTATGGTGGGTGGAGGGGGGCAAGTAGTGGCATGGTGGGGAGGGTGGCAAGATTAGGTGGTATGGTGGGTGGAGGGGCAAGGGTTCTGGTGGCATGGTGGGTGGGAGGGGTTAGTGGCATGGTGGTGGAGGGGTGGCAAGATTAGTGGTATGGTGGGTGGGAGGGTGGCAAGGTTAGTGGTATGGTGGGTGGGAGGGTGGGCAAGGTTAGGTGGCATGGTGGGTGGAGGGTGGCAAGGTTAGTATGGTGGGTGGGAGGTGGCAAGATTAGTGGCATGGTGGGTGGAGGGTGCAAGGGGTTAGTGGTATGGTGGTGGATGGTGGCAAGGTTAGTGGTATGGTGGGTGGAGGGGCGGCAGATTAGTGGCATGGTGGGTGATGGCAAGGTTAGTGGTATGGTGGGTGGAGTGGGGTTAGTGGCATATGGTGGGTGGAGGGCAAGCAAGGTTAGTGGTAATGGTGGGCGTGGAGGGGCAAGGGCAATAATGGCATGGTGGGTGGATGGGCGGGAAGCCATGGCATGGTGGGTGGAGGGTGGCAAGCGATGGCATGGTGGGTGGATGGCAAGGTTATGGCATGGTGGGTGATGGCAAGGTGATGGCGGGTGGAGGGCAAGGTTAGTGGCTGGGTGGAGCGAAGGTTGGCAGTGGGTGGAGGGGCAAAGATGGTGGGGGATGGGCGGGTTAGCGGCATGGTGGGTGGGAGGGGCGGCGGGCAAGGCATGGTGGGTGATGGGCGGCGGGCTGAGGGGCGGTATGGTGGGTGGAGGGCGGCGGGGTTTAGCGGTATGGCGGGTGGATGGCGGCGTCGTTATGGCATGGCGACGGGAGGCAAGGCTGGCGGCATGGCGGGTGGAGGGCAAGGTAGTGGCATGGCGGGTGTGGCGGCGTTAGGCGGAATGGCGGGTGGAGTGTAAGGCAGCGTTAGCGGCATGGGGCGGGATGGCGGCGGTTAGTGGCATGGCGGGCGTGATGGGCGGTCAGGCTGGCGGCATGGCGGGCGGAGCGGGCGCAAGGGTGTAGCGGCATGGTGGGGCGGAGGTGGCGTGCCAGGCGGCATGGCGGGTGATGGGCGCAAGGTTAGCGGCACGGCTGGTGACGGCAAGGCTGAAGTGGCAATGGCGGGAGAGCAGGCGGGCTAGGTGCATGGCGGGCGTGATGGCGTTTAGTGGCATGGGTGTGGAGGGGCGGTGGCTGAGGGCGCATGGCGGTGAGGGCGGTATGAGGGGCGGCAGCGGGTGGAGGGGCAGGCAGGCGCATGGTGGGTGGATGGGTGGCGCTGCTGGTGGCATGGCGTGGAGGGCGGCATGCGGGCGGCATGGTGGGTGGAGGTAAGGCATTGGAGGTAATGGCGGGTGTGATGGCGTAAGGTTAGCGGCATGGTGGGCGGCAGCGGCGGCGGGCGTTGAAGTGGTGGCATGGTGGTGGGAGGCGGCGCAAGTGGCGTGGCGGGTGGAGCGCGGCGGGTTAGGTGGCATGGCGGGTGTGGGACGGCGGCAAGGTTAGTGGCATGGCGGGCGTGATGGGCGGGCGGCTGCTGAAGTGGAGTGGCGGGGTGGAGGGCGGCGCAGTGTATGGCATGGCGGGAGTGGCGGCGTCAATGGCAATGGCGGGGGGTGATTTGCCATGATGCGATGGATGGTGGGTGTATGGAGGGCATGGTGGTGATGGGCACATGGCATGGTGGGTGGAGGGCAAGGTTGGGGCATGGTGGGTGGAGGGCAAGATTAGTGGTATGGTGGGTGGAGGCAAGGTTAGCATGGTGGGTGGGAGGGCAAGGTTAGGTATGGTGGGTGGAGGTGGCAAGGTAAGTGGTATGGTGGGTGGGAGGTGGCAAGGTGGTATAGGTGGGAGGTGGCGACTAGTGGTATGGTGGGTGGAGGCAAGGTTAGTGGCATGGTGGGTGGGAGGTGGCGTTAGTGGCATGGTGGGTGGGAGGGTGGCAAGTGGTGTGGTGGGTGGGAGGGTGGCAAGATTAGTGGTATGGTGGGTGGGAGTGGCAAGGTTAGTGGTATGGTGGGTGGAGGGCAAGGGTTGGTGGTATGGTGGGGTGGAGGGGTGGCAAGATTAGTGGTATGGTGGGTGGAGGGCAAGGTTATGGTATGGTGGGTGGGGAGGGTGGTAAAGGTAAGTGGTATTGGGTGGGAAGGTGGCAGGTTAGTGGTATGGTGGGTGGGAGGTGGCAAGGTTAGTGGTATGGTGGGTGGGAGGGGTGGCAAGGTTAGTGGTATGGTGGGTGGGAGGTGGCAAGGTTAGTGGTATGGTGGGTGGAGGGTGGCAAGGTTAGTGGTATGGTGGGTGGGAGGGTGGCAAGGTAAGGTGGTATGGTGGGTGGGAGGTGCTTAGGTTAGTGGTATGGTGGGTGGGAGGGTGGCAAGGTTAGTGGTATGGTGGGTGGGAGGTGGCAAGGTTAGTGGTATGGTGGGTGGGAGGGTGGCAAGGAGTTAGTGGTATGGTGGGTGGGAGGTGGCAAGGTTAGTGGTATGGTGGGTGGGAGGGTAGCAAGGTTAGTGGTATTGGTGGGTGGTGGGAGGGTGGCAAGGTTAGTGGTATGGTGGGTGGGAGGGTGGCAAGGTTAGTGGTATGTGGTGGGTGGAGGTGGCAGGGGTTAGTGAGTATGGTGGGTGGGAGGGTGGCAAGTTAGTGTGTTAGTGGGTGGGAGGGTGGCAAGTGGTGGTATGGTGGGTGGGAGGGTGAGGGTTTTAGTGGGGGTGGGAGGGTTAGTGGTATGGTGGGTGGGAGGTGGCAAGGAGTGATGTGGTGGGTGGGAGGTGGCAAGGTGTGGGTATGGTGGGTGGGAGGGTACAAGGTTAGTGGTATGGTGGGTGGGAGGTGGCAAGGTTAGTGGTATGGTGGGTGGGAGGGTGGCAAGGTTAGTGGTATGGTGGGTGGGAGGTGGCAAGGTTAGTGGTATGGTGGGTGGGAGGGTGGCAGGTGTTAGTGGTATGGTGGGTGGGAGGGTGTAGGGTTAGTGGTATGGTGGGTGGGAGGAGGTGGCAAGGTTAGTGGTATGGTGGGTGGGGGGTGCAGGTTAGTGGTATGGTGGGTGGAGGGTGGCAAGGTTAGTGGTATGTGGGTGGGAGGTGGCAAGGTTAGTGGTATGGTGGGTGGGAGGTGGCAAGGTTAGTGGTATGGTGGGTGGGAGGGTGCAAGGTTAGTGGTATGGTGGGTGGGAGGGTGCTAGAGTTAGTGGTATGGTGGGTGGGAGGGTGGCAAGGTTAGTGGTATGGTGGGTGGGAGGTTGCAAGGTTAGTGGTATGGTGGGTTGGGGAGGTGGCAGGGTTAGTGGTATGGTGGGTGGGAGGGTGCAAGGTTAGTGGTATGGTGGGTGGGAGAGGTGTGGGATTAGTGGTATGGTGGGTGGGGTGGCAGGGTGTGGTATGGTGGGTGGGGAGGGTGCAAGGTTAGTGGTATAATTGGGTGGGAGGTGCAAGGTTAGTGGTATGGTGGGTGGGAGGGTTGCAAGATTAGTGGTATATGGTGGGTGGGAGGTTGCAAGGTTAGTGGTATGAGTGTGGGTGGGAGGTGGCAAGGTTAGTGGTATGGTGGGTGGGAGGGTGGCAAGGTTAGTGGTATGGTGGGTGGAGGGATTAGTGTGGTATGGTGGGTGGGAGGGTGGCAAGGTTGGTATGGTGGGTGGGAGGGTGCAAGGTTAGTGGTATATGGGTGGGAGGTGGCAAGGTTAGTGGTATAATTGGGTGGGAGGTGGCAAGGTTAGTGGTATGGTGGGTGGGGAGGTGGCAAGGTTAGTGGTATGGTGGGTGAGGATGGTGGCAGGTTAGTGGTATGGTGGGTGGGAGGTGGCAAGGTTAGTGGTATGGTGGGTGGGAGGGTGGCAAGGTTAGTGGTATGGTGGGTGGGAGGGTGGCAAGGTTAGTGGTATGGTGGGTGGGAGGGTGGCAAGGTTAGTGGTATGGTGGGTGGGAGGGTGGCAAGGTTAGGTGGTATGGTGGGTGGGAGGGTGCAAGGTTAGTGGTATGGTGGGTGGGATGGTGGCAAGGTTAGTGGTATGGTGGGTGGGAGGTGTAGGAGTTAGTGGTGTATGGTGGGTGGGAGGGTGGCAAGGTTAGTGGTATGGTGGGAGGTGGCAAGGTTAGTGGTATGGTGGGTGGGAGGTGGCAAGGTTAGTGGTATGGTGGGTGGGAGGGTGGCAAGGTTAGTGGTATGGTGGGTGGGAGGGTGGCAAGGTTAGTGGTATGGTGGGTGGGAGGTTGCAAGGTTAGTGGTATGGTGGGTGGGATGGTGGCAAGGTTAGTGGTATGGTGGGTGGGGAGGTGGCAAGGTTAGGCAGGTTGGCAAGTAAGTGTGGGTTCCAAGATGGCACGATTGGTGGCAGGGTGGGTGGCAATGCAGTGGCAGGGGTTGGTGGCAGAGGTGGGTGGTAGGGCAGTCAATTATAATAACAAAGGGTGGCGGTGTGCAGTGTCTCAACATCGTTTGGTTATAGCTGATGGATCACATAAATGAATAAGGAACAGGTGGCTGCTCTGGATAGGGTTGCCATAATCTGTGTAAGTCTCTATGGAAAGATTGTCCGTATCGATGTAATTGAGTATAATCAAGAGTTGCCATGATGAAAAATATTCAAAAGTTGCCATAATGAAAAATATTCAAAGTTGCCATAAATCACACAATACTGTACTACTCCTCTAGACTTGCCACAGTCTACATAGTATCATAAATCATACACAATAGTACATATCCCCAAGAGTTGCCATTTTATTAAGAGTCCTTCACACACACACACACACACACACACACACACACACCTAAGAGTTGCCACAGTAGCCATAAGTCCCCATCATCACTACTGGCTCCCATCATTACTTGCCATAGTTGCCATACCAGGTACAGCGGGTATTTTTACCGACTTACCACAAACTTAGTCTAATGAAAGAGTCAACTTGTAGGTCTTGGGAATGATTGCTGTAACATGATAAGCCACTACGTCGGTAAGGGCGGGGATTGTACTGCTATTAATGAGGGATTCTCGTCCTTATGAACCTCTGTGGTATAGCATTTTCTTGCCTTAGTAATCAAAGAGATGGTAACCTGACCCTATGGTAGGAGTAGTGTGTGTGTGTGTGTGTGTGTGTCCGTACGTGTGTGTGTGTGTGTGTGTGCGTGCGTGTGTGTGTGTGGTGTCCGTACGTGTGTGTGTGTGTGTGTGTGTGTGTCCTGCGTGTGTAATATATATATATAATTGGTTTATTGAAAGAGGCAGCCAGAAGGCTGAAAATATACAGTTACATATTTGGGGAATGGGTTACAATTACAAATAATATACAAGTACATAAGTGACACAAATAAGATATATAATAACTAGATGGGGAAAAGCTCAAACTACAGTTCATTTCAACATAGTGACAGTGCAAGGAGCAGTGTTTACTGGGAGTGAATACACTGGTTTATTACAAGTTGTTGATATTTTTACAATGGTTGGGACTGGGCTGTTCTTATAGCGATCAGTTCGTGCACGTATGGGCTGGATGCGGTTGTGGTGTCGAACAGCAATTTTCGGGCTAGGGATCTCAGGTGGTAGTAGGAGCCGGTGTCGAGGATGGTGTAGAAGCTTCTTACCAAATTTGCAGATGAGGTCGTGGTGATGGTCAGTGAGAGTCGAAAGGGTCAGTGTGTTGAGCGCTTTTGATATGTGGAGTAGGAAAGGAAGAATAATCTTGTATGCCCTCTTTGCACTTTTCTAGGTGTTTGTTGTGTGGTATTTAGGGAGGAAGACCAGGTGAGGAGGCATAGGTGAGCTTAGTATGAATGTGTGTAAACACTAGGAGCTCAGGTGCAGGAACTCCGAGGACTTGAGTCGGCGGAGGAGGTGGAGACGGAAACTGGAGGATTGACCTTCACTGACGTGAGGTTTCCAATTTAGTTTGTTGTCTATGGTGACGCCGAAGAGCTTCGTGTAATCTACAACCTGGAGTGTGTTCGGACCTAAAGTAATGGAAGGAGGTGGGACAATGTCGGAGAGGTTGATGTGCATAACCATGGTCTTGGTATGGTTGATGGTGACATGGTTGTTGGTGGCCCAGTTTTGGAGAACGTTCAATAAATCCTGAAGGGCGGTATAGTTAGAACAAATGGTTGATCGACATATTTCCAGCGAGCAGGGGTTTCTCTTAGGGCATCATTGATGAGCATAAGGAAGCAGAGTGGTCCCATCTTGGTGTGTGGGGACGCCACAGGTGAGTGACTGAAAGGTGGAGACAGCCCCTCGGAAGCGTGCAACAGTCACTGAGAGTCTGTAAGCCATGGTATAAGACTTCTCAGCCCAGGAGTCAATAGCTTTGTTGATGATTATTTTGGTCGACTAGGTCAGATGCTTTAGTGAAATCAATGAAGGCGACAGCTACAGACGTTTTCGTTTCTCGAGATGGCGGTATATGTAATCAAGAAAGCTGACAAGACAGTGAGTGGTGGAGGAAGTTTTCATGTTGCTAAATTGCTGAGGTCTACGACTCGCAAT